CCTCACACACTGCTGGTGTGTTCAATTTTTTTGACATAGGGTGCTGGCAGATTACGGGCCTCCCATAGCTGCTGCCAGGCCCCTAATCTGCCATGGGCCCCTATACCGCCTCCTCATGCTGCTGCCAAGTCCAGAGTCTCTCATGGGTCCCTGTACGGCCTCCCATTGCTGCTGTCTCCATCGCCACACTCTGCCATGTGCCACTTTCAGGTCTCCTCACACACTGCTGGTGTGTTCCAATTTTTTGTCATAGGGTGCTGGCAGATTACGGGCCTCCCATAGCTGCTGCCAGGCCCCTAATCTGCCATGGGCCCCCTGTACCGCCTCCTCATGCTGCTGCCAGGTCCAGAGTCTCTCATGGGTCCCTGTACGGCCTCCCATTGCTGCTGTCTCATCGCCACACTCTGCCATGTGCCACTTTCAGGTCTCCTCACACTGCTGGTGTGTTAGAATTTTTTGTCATAGGGTGCTGGCAGATTACGGGCCTCCCATAGCTGCTGCCAGGCCCCTAATCTGCCATGGGGCCCCTATACCGCCTCCTCATGCTGCTGCCAGGTCCAGAGTCTCTCATGGGTCCCTGTACGGCCTCCCATTGCTGCTGTCTCCATCGCCACACTCTGCCATGTGCCACTTTCAGGTCTCCTCACACTGCTGGTGTGTTCCATTTTTTGTCATAGGGTGCTGGCAGATTACGGGCCTCCCATAGCTGCTGCCAGGCCCCTAATCTGCCATGGGCCCCTGTACCGCCTCCTCATGCTGCTGCCAGGTCCAGAGTGTCTCATGGGTCCCATGTACGGCCCCCATTGCTGCTGTCTCCATCGCCACACTCTGCCATGTGCCACTTTCAGGTCTCCTCACACTGCTGGTGTGTTTTTTTGACATAGGGTGCTGGCAGATTACGGGCCTCCCATAGCTGCTGCCAGGCCCCTAATCTGCCATGGGCCCCTATACCGCCTCCTCATGCTGCTGCCAGGTCCAGAGTCTCTCATGGGTCCCTGTACGGCCTCCCATTGCTGCTGTCTCCATCGCCACACTCTGCCATGTGCCACTTTCAGGTCTCCTCACACACTGCTGGTGTGTTCCATTTTGTCATAGGGTGCTGGCAGATTACGGGCCTCCCATTGCTGCTGCCAGGCCCCTAATCTGCCATGGGCCCCTGTATACCGCCTCCTCATGCTGCTGCCAGGTCCAGAGTCTCTCATGGGTCCCTGTACGGCCTCCCATTGCTGCTGTCTCCAGGCGCCACACTCTGCCATGTGCCACTTTCAGGTCTCCCACACTGCTGCTGGTGTTGTTAGCGTTTCAACATTTTTGTCATAGGGTGCTGGCAGATTACGGGCCTCCCATTGCTGCTGCCAGGCCCCTAATCTGCCATGGGCCCCTATTACCCCTCCTCATGCTGCTGCCAGGTCCAGAGTGTCTCATGGGTCCCTGTACGGCCTCCCATTGCTGCTGTCTCCATCGCCACACTCTGCCATGTGTGCCACTTTCAGGTCTCCTCACACTGCTGGTGTGTTCCATTTTTTTGACATAGGGTGCTGGCAGATTACGGGCCTCCCATTGCTGCTGCCAGGCCCCGTAATCTGCCATGGGCCCGTTGTACCGCCTCCTGCCATGCTGCTGCCAGGTCCCCACAGTGTCTCCATCGCCACACTCTGCCATGTGCCACTTTCAGGTCTCCTCACACTGCTGGTGTGTTCCATTTTTTGTCATAGGGTGCTGGCAGATTTACGGGCCTCCCATTGCTGCTGCTGCCAGGCCCCTAATCTGCCATGGGCCCCCCTGTACCGCCTCCTCATGCTGCTGCCAGGTCCAGAGTCTCTCATGGGTCCCTGTACGGCCTCCCATTGCTGCTGTCTCCATCGCCACACTCTGCCATGTGCCACTTTCAGGTCTCCTCACACTGCTGGTGTGTGTTCATTTTTTGACATTGGGTGCTGGCAGATTACGGGCCTCCCATAGCTGCTGCCAGGCCCCTAATCTGCCATGGGCCCCTGTACCGCCCTCCTCATGCTGCTGCCAGGTCCAGAGTCTCTCATGGGTCCCTGTACGGCCCTCCCATTGCTGCTGTCTCCATCGCCACACTCTGCCATGTGCCACTTTCAGGTCTCCTCACACTGCTGGTGTGTTCCATTTTTTGTCATAGGGTGCTGGCAGATTACGGGCCATTCCCATTGCTGCTGCCAGGGCCCCTAATCTGCCATGGGCCCCTGTACCGCCTCCTCATGCTGCTGCCAGGTCCACATGTCTCTGCCATGTGCCACTTTCAGGTCTCCTCCACACTGCTGTGTTCATTTTTTGTCATAGGGTGCTGGCAGATTACACGGGCCTCCCATTGCTGCTGCCAGGCCCCTAATCTGCCATGGGCCCCTGTACGGCCTCCTCATGCTGCTGCCAGGTCCACAGTGTCTCATGCCATGTGCCACTTTCAGGTCTCTCACACTGCTGGTGCCACTTTGTTCACTGCTGGTGGGTTTTTTTGTCATAGGGTGCTGGCAGATTACGGGCCTCCCATAGCTGCTGCCAGGCCCCTAATCTGCCATGGGCCCCTGTACCGCCTCCTCATGCTGCTGCCAGTCCCTGTCCACAGTCTCTCATGCCATGTGCCACTTTCAGGTCTCCTCACACTGCTGGTGTGGTTCCATTTTTTTGTCATAGGGTGCTGGCAGATTACGGGCCTCCCATAGCTGCTGCCAGGCCCCTAATCTGCCATGGGCCCCTATACCGCCTCCTCATGCTGCTGCCAAGTCCAGAGTCTCTCATGGGTCCCTGTACGGCCTCCTCATGCTGCTGCTGTCTCCATCGCCACACTCTGCCATGTGCCACTTTCAGGTCTCCTCACACTGCTGGTGTGTTACATTTTGTCATAGGGTGCTGGCAGATTACGGGGCCTCCCATAGCTGCTGCCAGGCCCCTAATCTGCCATGGGCCCCTGTACCGCCTCCTCATGCTGCTGCCAAGTCCAGAGTCTCTCATGGGTCCCTGTACGGCCTCCCATTGCTGCTGTCTCCATCGCCACACTCTGCCATGTGCCACTTTCAGGTCTCCTCACACACTGCTGGTGTGTTCCATTTTTTTGACATAGGGTGCTGGCAGATTACGGGCCTCCCATAGCTGCTGCCAGGCCCCTAATCTGCCATGGGCCCCTATACCGCCTCCTCATGCTGCTGCCAGGTGCAGAGTCTCTCATGGGTCCCTGTACGGCCTCCCATTGCTGCTGTCTCCATCGCCACACTCTGCCATGTGCCACTTTCAGGTCTCCTCACACTGCTGGTGTGTTCCATTTTTTTGTCATAGGGTGCTGGCAGATTACGGGCCTCCCATAGCTGCTGCCAGGCCCCTAATCTGCCATGGGCCCCTATACCGCCTCCTCATGCTGCTGCCAGGTCCAGAGTCTCTCATGGGTCCCTTTACGGCCTCCCATTGCTGCTGTCTCCATCGCCACACTCTGCCATGTGCCACTTTCAGATCTCCTCACACTGCTGGTGTGTTACATTTTTTGTCATAGGGTGCTGGCAGATTACGGGCCTCCCATTGCTGCTGCCAGGCCCGTAATCTGCCATGGGCCCCCGTACCGACTCCTCATGCTGTGACGTTACAACAAGGTGGAATTCAACCCTACATATGTTAGACCGCCTTTACGAACAGCGAAAGGCCATCACAGATTTCCTGATGTTACAAGCGGATAAAGGTACTCCCTGTGTAACTTAGATGTCAGCCATTGGCAGCTCATGCGTGACACCTGCGCTTGCTCAGGCCCTTTGAGGAGGCCACGCTATTCGTGAGTCGGCAGGACTATGGGATGAACGACGTCATTCCTCTGTTTGCACGTCCTGGAACAAATGCTGTTAACAATGGCTGGTCAGGGTGCGGTAGACGTGGCGCACAGATCTCAACGCCACATGACCCCTGTGGGGGCAGGACAGGAAAAAGAGGAGGAGGTAGAGGAGGACATTGGTGCTCAGGAATTATTGAGTGAAATGGGTGGTTTTTCCACTCAGCGGACAGGAGTGGAGGAGCAGGAGCATCTGGTAGAGGAGGAGGAGACAGAGGACCCAGACGCACCGTGGCAGTATGCTGTGGAGATGGAGGCAGGGAGCCCCTCGCATTCCTTGGCACAAATGGCCCATAGCATGCTCGCTTGCTTGCGTAGCGACAGCCGAATAATAACCATCAGACAGAGGGATGACTTTTGGCTGTCCACCTTGTTGGACCCTCGCTACCGTTCAAAAATGGTGGCCTTTTTCACACCTGCTGAGAGGGAGGCCAAAATAACGTACTATAAAAACCACCTATGTAGTCAGCTGGTCTCTGCCTTTCTGCGCCAACGTCCATCCTCAGACACTGTGGGCCCTGTGCGCTCGCGTTCCGCTGCCATGGCAGCAGGGGAGGGGTGGGGTGGTAGGAGCAGTGGTAGCTCCACCAGCAGCGGCTGCCTCAGTCTGCAGTCGATGATGAGTAGCTTTCTTCACCAGCGCAGTGAGGAAACTACTAACCAGCGCAGCAGCAGCAGCAGCATCAGGTGGACCTGGAGCAGGACCTCAAACAACAGGCTTGGGCCTACTTGGACAGCACCCTGCCAACCGAGGTAGACAATCCCCTTGACTACTGGGCAATGAAACTTGACCTTTGGCCCCAACTAGCTGAATTTGCCCTTGAAAGGCTGTCATGCCCGGCCAGTAGCGTGGCATCGGAGCGCGTGTTTAGTGTGGCAGGAGGTATTGTAACTTCGCGGAGGACACGACTGTCCACCCAAAGTGTGGAGAGACTCACGTTTGTGAAAATGAATCAGGCGTGGATTAGTCTGGATTTCAAACCACCAGTTCCTGACACAACTGACTAAATCCGCCATGAATCATGCCCCAAACATGTGCCACTTTCAGGTCTCCTCACACTGCTGGTGTGTTCCATTTTTTGTCATAGGGTGCTGGCAGATTACGGCTCCCATTGCTGCTGCCAGGCCCGTAATCTGCCATGGGCCCCAGTACCCCGACGCCTCCTCATGCTGCTGCCAGGTCCAGAGTGTGTCATGGGTCCCTGTACGGCCTCCCATTGCTGCTGTCTCCATCGCCACACTCTGCCATGTGCCACTTTCAGGTCTCCTCACACACTGCTGGTGTGTTCCATTTTTTGTCATAGGTGCTGGCAGATTACGGGCCTCCCATAGCTGCTGCCAGGCCCCTAATCTGCCATGGGCCCCTGTACCGCCTCCTCATGCTGCTGCCAGGCCCCTAATCTGCCATGGGCCCCTGTACCGCGTCTTCATGCTGCTGCGAGGTACAGAGTGTGTCATGGGTCCCTGTACGGCCTCCCATTGCTGCTGCCAGGAGGCAGCAGGGTCGCAGCAGTGTCAGTGGAGGCAAACGGCCACGGAGTAGAGCACCAGCTCCACTGCAGCCTACCACCATGGCCAGTAGTGGTGCCGGTGTGCACGGAGGAAGTAGCAGTCAGCCAGTGAGGAGTAGCGGGGGCAAAGTTTCCTACTCGGCGGTGTGGCAAATTTTTCGTCAAGCCGCCCGAGGAAGTAAACTTAGCCGTATGTCGACTATGTGGCCAGAAAGTCAAGCGTGGCCAGGGGGCCCATGTTGGGACTACAGCGTTGCGTCAGCATATGCAGCGTCGCCATTCGGTGGCCTGAGAAAACCGTGATAAAGATACGGCGGTTCTGCCTGCCCCAGCCCAGGGTTCCATTTTGTCATAGGGTGCTGGCAGATTACGGGCCTCCCATTGCTGCTTCCAGGCCTGTAATCTGCCATGGGCCCCAGTACCGCCTCCTCATGCTGCTGCCAGGTCCACAGTCTCTCATGGGTCCCTGTACGGCCTCCCATTGCTGCTGTCTCCATCGCCACACTCTGCCATGTGCCACTTTCAGGTCTCCTCACACTGCTGGTGTGTTACATTTTTTGTCATAGGGTGCTGGCAGATTACGGGCCTCCCATTGCTGCTGCCAGGCCCGTAATCTGCCATGGGCCCCAGTACCGCCTCCTCATGCTGCTGCCAGGTCCACAGTCTCTCATGGGTCTCTGTACGGCCTCCCATTGCTGCTGTCTCCATCGCCACACTCTGCCATGTGCCACTTTCAGGTCTCCTCACACTGCTGGTGGGTTCCATTTTTTGTCATAGGGTGCTGGCAGATTACGGGCCTCCCATAGCTGCTGCCAGGCCCCTAATCTGCCATGGGCCCCTGTACCGCCTCTCATGCTGCTTCCAGGTCCAGAGTCTCTCATGGGTCCCTGTACGGCCTCCCATTGCTGCTGTCTCCATCGCCACACTCTGCCATGTGCCACTTTCAGGTCTCCTCACACACTGCTGGTGTGTTCCATTTTTTGTCATAGGGTGCTGGCAGATTACGGGCCTCCCATTGCTGCTTCCAGGCCCGTAATCTGCCATGGGCCCCCGTACCGACTCCTCATGCTGCTGCCAGGCCCGTAATCTGTAATGGGCCCCTGTTGTCGCTTGTTGGCATATTCCGCTCGTTCAGATGCTCCTTCTCCTGCTACTCCTCTTCACGGATTCCGTCAGCAGTCTTTCTTGGAATCCGTTTCCAAGAGACAACAGTTTGCGAGCACGCACCCGACGGTGCAGAAGCTGAACGTCCTCCTGTCCAAGTTGCTGCTGCCAGGCTCGTAATCTGTCATGCGCCCCTGTACCGCCTCCTCATGCTGCTGCCAGGTCCAGAGTGTGTCATGGGCCCCCCATACCGACTCCTCATGCTGCTGCCAGGCCCGTAATCTGTCATGGGCCCCTATACCGCCTCCTCATGCTGCTGCCAGGTCCAGAGTGTGTCATGGGTCCCTTTACGGCCTCCCATTGCTGCTGCCAGGCCCGTAATCTGCCATGGGGCCCCCGTACCAACTCCTCATGCTGCTGCCAGGCCCGTAATCTGTCATGGGCCCCTGTACCGCCTCCTCATGCTGCTGCCAGGTCCAGAGTGTGTCATGGGTCCTGTACGGCCTCCCATTGCTGCTGTCTCCATCGCCACACTTTGCCATGTGCCACTTTCAGGTCTCCTCACACTGCTGGTGGTTTCCATTTTTGTCATAGGGTGCTGTATGGCCTCCCATTGCTGTTGCCTCCACCGCCACACTGTGGCTCCACACTCTGGTTTTGGCCCCGTGACTGCCCAAATGAGTGAAGTGTGCGGTGATTCTAAGATCGACGGCACTCATCTGCATGTCATACTGACTGTCAGTATTATTTCTCTTCCCCAGCAGACTCCAAGGGCATTTAAATTAAAGGTACAGTGTTCTGCACTAATATAAAGGCTCTCTGAAGCCTAGAAACACCCTTTTATAAGTTAAATTCGCAGCGAATATATTTGACTCGAATCGAAATTTTTCAGAGGAGACTGAAGGGATGAGGTGAGGAGTAGAAAGATAGATTTGTGTGTCATCAGCATAGAGATGGTACTTAAAGCCATGGGAATTTATCAAGTGACCACAGAGAGGTCAAGTAGTAAGAGTATAGAGTAGTGGCCATTGGTTTTAGCTGTTAGTAGATCATTAGTGAGTTTTAGTAGGGCAGTTTCAGTGAAGTGTAGTGAGCGAAAGCCAGATTGTAAAGGGTCAAGAAGGTTGTTGTCAGTGAGGTAGGAGCTCAGGTGATTGTAGACTAAGCGTTCCAAGAGTTTAGAGGTAAACGGGAAAAGGGACATGGGTCTTAAGTTGTTCAGGTTGGTGGGATCCAGGGAGGGCTTTTTAAGTATGGGAGTGATGTGTGCATGCCTTAGAGGGGAGGAGAAGGCACCTTTAGAGAGGGAGAGATTGAAGATGTGAGTGAGGGAGCATAGGATGGAAGAAGAGGGTGACTGTAGTAGTTGTGAGGGTACAGGATCTAGGGGGCAGGCAGTGAGATGGGCTTCTGAGAAAACCTTAGTGACCTCTTCAGTAGTAGCAAGGTCAAAAGTGGAAAGTGTTGAGGAAGGTTTAGTATAAGGTATGCTAAGTGGAATGGATGTCTGTGCAGTGGAGATGCCCCTATGAATTGCATCAATCTTGTTTTTGAAATGATTTGCAATCTCAGAAGCAGTGAGTGAGGTACTGGGTGGAGGTGGAGAAAGTAGAGAGTTAAAAGTAGAGAAGAGACAACGAGGACTGGATGACAAGCTATTGATGAGAGGGACCAAGTAGGCTTGTTTGGCAGCAAGGAGGGAGAAATTGTTTGTTAAGAAAGCAGATTTATATAGGGTGAAAGCTTGCTGAGATTTGGTTTTGCGCCACAATCGCTCCAGAGCAGGACTATGTCGCTTAAGATATCTGGTATTGTCAGACTGCCAAGGTTGTAATGGTTGGGGCCTGATGCTTCCTGTAGTTAGAGGAGCAAGTGAATCTAATCTGGATGAAAGCGAACTGTTGTAGACAGCAGTGGCCAGGTCAGGGCAGGACAGGGGAGATATTCTGTCATAGAGGCAGTCAGTTGCAGAGTAGAAAAGAGAAGGGTTAAAGTTATGAAGGATTCTGCGGATAATTGTTTGCTGCTTGGAGGGATAGGTGTTTGAAGACGAGGACACTGTCAAGGTGATAAGATTGTGATCAGAGAGAGAAAAGGGGGTGTTTGTGAGGTTGTAGGGAGTGCAACGATGGGAGAAGACAAGGTCTACTGTATTCCCATCAGAGTGAGTGGAGGATTGTGTCCATTGTGTTAAGGCAAAAGATGAGCTTAGGTTGAAGAGTTGGGATGTAGCCGGGTTATTCACATTAATGGGGATGTTAAAATCTCCAAGAACGATAGTGGTTAGTTCAGAGGAGAGAAAGTAGGGTAGCCAGGCAGATAAATCATCAAGAAACCGATCCAGGAGGCCGATAGATCACTGCAATTCTCAGAGAAATGTGAGAAAACAGCCGAATGCAGTGAGTCTCGAAAGAACAGAAGGATAGAGAGGGAGGGTTATGGAGGACTTGAAAGGTGCTCAGTGGGGATAGAAGCAAACCAACTCCGCCACCTTGTCGACCACTGGGTCTGGGTGAGTGGATCCAGAGAAGGACTCCATAGGAAAGTGCTGCGCGAGAAGAAGAATATGCTGCTTGAAGCCAAGTTTCTGTAATTGCTAGTAGTAGAGATGAGCGAATCGAACCTGGCGAAGTGGAATTCGTTTCGAATATTAGGAAAAATTCGATTCGCGCCGAATCCGAATATTAGCAAACTTCGGATGCGCGAATCGAATTTTCCCCGGTCGGCCGATTTTCATCCCTTCTACAGCCGGCAAAAAGTGTCCCTGCAGAGAGCTCCGCTATTTCTGACAGTTCTCTGACAGTTCCTTCACATTTACAGCAGTTGAAACATTGTATCTATTTGTTTCCATTTAGGATACAGATGTTTTTATTCGGAAACAAATAGATACAATGTTTCAACCGCTGTAAATGTGAAGGAACTGTCAGAGAACTGTCAGAAATAGCGGAGCTCTCTGCAGATACACTTTTTGCTGCACTGGAATTCTTCTTCATCCTCATCCTACTTCTTCTTCTTCTTCATCCTCATCCTACTTCTTCTTCTTCTTCTTCTTCTTCTTCTTCTTCATCCTCATCCTTCTTCTTCTTCTTCTTCTTCATCCTCATCCTACTTCTTCTTCTTCTTCTTCTTCTTCATCATCCTCATCCTACTTCTTCTTCTTCTTCTTCATCCTCATCCTACTTTTTCTTCTTCTTCTTCTTCTTCTTCTTCATCCTCATCCTTCTTCTTCTTCTTCTTCATCCTCATCCTACTTCTTCTTCTTCTTCATCCTCATCCTACTTCTTCTTCTTCTTCATCCTCATCCTACTACTTCTTCTTCTTCTTCTTCATCCTCATCCTACTTCTTCTTCTTCTTCATCCTCATCCTACTTCTTCTTCTTCTTCTTCATCCTCATCCTACTTCTTCTTCTTCTTCTTCTTCTTCTTCATCCTCATCCCTTTTCTTCTTCTTCTTCATCCTCATCCTTCTTCTTCTTCTTCATCCTCATCCTACTTCTTCTTCTTCTTCATCCTCATCCTACTTCTTCTTTTTTCTTCTTCTTCATCCTCATCCTCATCCTACTTCTTCTTCTTCTTCTTCATCCTCATCCTACTTCTTCTTCTTCATCCTCATCCTAATTCTTCTTCTTCTTCATCCTCATCCTACTTCTTCTTCTTCTTCTTCATCCTCATCCTACTTCTTCTTCTTCTTCTTCTTCTTCATCCTCATCCTACTTCTTCTTCTTCTTCTTCATCCTCATCCTACTTCTTCTTCATCCTCATCCTACTTCTTCTTCTTCTTCTTCTTCTTCATCATCCTCATCTTCTTCTTCTTCTTCTTGCCATGGGCCCCTGTACCGCCTCCTCATGCTGCTGCCAGGTCCAGAGTGTGTCATGGGTCCCTGTACGGCCTCCCATTGCTGCTGTCTCCATCGCCACACTCTGCCATGTGCCACTTTCAGGTCTCCTCACACTGCTGGTGGGTTCCATTTTGTCATAGGGTGCTGTATGGCCTCCCATTGCTGCTGCCTCCACCGCCACACTGTGGCTCCACACTCTGGTTTTGGCCCCGTGACTGCCCAAATGAGTGAAGTGTGCGGTGATTCTAAGATCGACGGCACTCATCTGCATGTCATACTGACTGACAGTATTATTTCTCTTCCCCAGCAGACTCCAAGGGCATTTAAATTAAAGGTACAGTGTTCTGCACTAATATAAAGGCTCTCTGAAGCCTAGAAACCCTTTTTATAAGTTAAATTCGCAGCGAATAAATTCGCATCGAATCGAATTTATTCCACAAATTCGGCGAATCAGCCGAATCGAATTTTTGAATAATTCGCTCATCTCTAGCTAGTAGGTTACGGGAGCGGGAGACAAAAAGGTCATGGACAGAGGTAAGCTTATTACAGGCAGAGCAGGCATTCCAGAGTGCACATGAAAAAGGGAGGGTGGTTTTTAGGAGCACGGGTATTGATGTTAAATTGAGCAGATTGTGGCTATTTCCTGGAGGAAAGAGGGTGCCTGGTGTGGGAGTGAGATAGTGGAGGACCAGGGTTTGGGGAGATATCCCCAGAGGTTATGAGAAGGAGGGTGAGGAAAGTAAGATGGGAGCGGGATGTATATGAGTGCACATGCCTTCCTGTCCTGGTGTTTGGGTCAGCAGGTGAGTAGAGTATCAGAAGGTGATGAGAGTAGTAGTAGGCAGATGGTAGCAGTGAGGGTGATATGTATAAGCTTTGGGGTGGAACAGAGGGGTAAAGAGTGGGAATCAGACTTTTAGGAGATTTTTTCCCAGGGTGTTTGTTTGCAGTCCATCCAGAGTTCCTTGTTGTATCTTCCTGCTGCTTGAGTTATCCTGCTTTAGTTCAACTGCTGTGTTCAACTGCAGCTTCACACTCTAGCATCAAACACACTCACGCAGAAAACTGCATCCCATCTGTGACTGTGCCCCCTGTCTGTGACCTCCCCCATGAGCTGGTCTAAATTTATATGGCGATGGTCAAATGAGCAACTCTTCTCTGCCCCAATTAGGAACTGATAAGGATCACATGAATTGGGGGGGGGGGGGTGTTTCTCAAAGACAGGCCAGCCACAGACACAGGGCTCCAAAAATTTCTCTTCTATGTAAGAGCAAGTGTGGTTCCTTATAGGGGTTATTGGGACTATTGTCCTGTTTAGTAAGAAAAAATACTTGTGAGATAATGCTCAACATTCACCTATAAAAGGCCCAAAAATCTCTCTATATATAAGAGTGCTGGAATTCCCAGTGAAAGCATACAGTATAATGATACCATATCACTGTAAATATCAAGATATGACTTAGGTCTATTCATGGGTACTTGCCACAGGTGGAAGTGAACTAAGCCACTTAAATTTGCAATAGACTTCCGGGAATAATATGTATTTGTGGTTTTCCGTCTTGCCTCATGTTTATCCAAGATGGAGACGCACGGCTTGCTTATTTCCCCTCATGGACACTGCAGCATGGAAGGACGCAGAGCGTGATGATGTCACTACCTTGGCGCGTTTCGTCGCCAATCATCGCGGACTTCATCAGAACTGGGAGGGGATAGCTCATCTATTTCCTTTTATAGTGTGGTATTTAGATATTTCCATCATTATCACTCTTGTGTTTTTTGTTTTTACTTTTTTGATTTTATTTTCATGATTGACACTGTGTTCATCATGATATAATGTCTACCTTTCCATGATCCATGTGATCTTAATAAATACTATTGCATCCACTTATATAGTGATTATTACTCCGCTTGGGATTCATAATATAATCAGTTGCTAATATCTATTCACATACATACATAGGCAGATGCAAATCTTGCATACAGTCTGGTACATTCTAATGGTTGTGTACCAGCTTGGTCATTCCCACACACTTCTGAAATTCCCCAAGCTTATCCTGTGAACTAAATTCCTTGGTCAGTGATCTTTCCCTCAGCCTACACACACACATTAGACACACAGATCCCTGTTGCTGGCATTGGGATCTCTCCCTGTCTATGACAGATATTATAGTTTCTATACACTAGTACTAATCTGCATGCAATCAGATTAGCCATCTTCTTCAGCTACCCACTGCAATTTCAGGGAACATGAGGGGGCAGCCACACAATGCAATCTCACAAAGATTAGCAGTGAACCTACAACTGAGCATACAAGTAACTGGTAATACAACAGACTCTTAAGGAGATATGAATTCTTTGAAGCAATTAAAAATGGTTTATTCATTTCAAATGTATTATCCCTAGGCAGACAGGACATAGTAAAGGTTGCAAACAAAAAAAAAAACAGAAGCAAACGGTATTAAAAATGAAAGATTAAAAACATACAGTAAAATTATTTTTCCCACTATAGGGGTTGGTTGGAAAACATGGATCTTACCTTTCAACATAAATCAAAACTCTTAGATATGAACCAAAATTGATTGCAGTTCTCAACCTTTGAACCTTTAAAGATGAGTTACCCCCTCCTAACCTATCAACTTGGAATAAAGGGATCGCTGTTATCCACTATACAAAATCATGCTGCCCTTAGAAGTAGAGCTCAATGGGTGACAGACATAGGGGAGATTGATGGTGAGCAATGGGACATGGCCCTGGAATCTGTACCCATAATCTCTTTGTCCGCAGCGCACAGGCTTACTCAACTGTTTATACTCCATCGAGTTTATAGGACTCCAGAGAAACTGTACAACTGGGGCAGGAGAGACACACACTTATGTCCAAAATGTAAACAACACCATGGAGACTTCATATATATGCTTTGACATTGTCCAAAGATCACTCAATATTGGACCGAAGTTATACTTACCATCTCCTTAGTTTCCCAATCATCTATTTAGCTAGATCCCATCATATGCCTCTTAGGAGCAGTAGATGCTGAACAGTACCAACCAGAAGTATATATTATGGTTTCTTGCCTGCTATACCTTGCTAGAAAACTTATTGCCAGATACTGGATGTCATCCTCCTCTCTGACATGTAAACAATGGACAGAATATGTTAACACCTACTTCTTTTACAATGGATTTTATTAGAAATATCAAGTCATCAGAAAAATCCAAAGATGAAAGAAATGATACAAGGAAAAGTAGCATACAATTATTCCAATAAACAACATAATAAATGCACTGAGTTACAGGCAAACTGGGTGCATAATTACAATATTCAGATAGATGAGATAACACATAACAAATTGCAGTACAAATTAGCACACGGAAACCAATGAGCCATTGAGTAAAGGCCGTAGAGGATCCTGTAGACCGCATAAAAAAAAAAACATGAAGCGGAGTCTTACTGGATGAACCTTATTACTCCAATCCGTAGAACCCCAAAGAGGGTCCAGCAAATATACAAAACACTTTAGGTACAAATCTCAGAAAATATCATGATCAGTGCAGGTACCAAAAGACAAAGTAGATCAGGAGAGAAAGAGAACAGAAAAAAGACGAGCGAAAGAAAAGAAAAAGGGGTAGGGGGAGGTCCCAGGGGATCAAGCTAGAAAACATCATATCAGCAGAAGGGCATGATCAAATCTAGGCTGCTGGGCTATGTCAATCCAGGGGCGCCATACCCTTAGAAACTTTGTATGTGTGTCCAACAGTATGGCTGTGAACTTCTAATTAACCATTATAAAGTTCATCCGGTTTTTGACTGCCTCAGAACTGAGGAGAGGGGTCTTTCATGCTTTTGCAATTGTTAATTTGGCAGCCATCAATAAATGTGATGCCAGCTGTCACTCAGGATGGAGTAGGTCGTCCAGAGGTTTAAAAAACAGTGCCTCATAGGGATTGCGCCTATAATTTGCATGAAACATTGTGCAGAGAAGAGCATAGAACCTAACCCAGAGTCTGCACACCTTAGGACAATTCCACGATATATAAGCCATGGTGCCAATTTATTGACAGCCCTGAAAACAAGTTGGCAGGTAGGAAGGGATGATCGAGCCAGTCGGGCCGGTGTATAGTACCACCTAGTCATAACCCCACTTCTAAGAGAACAACTCACTTATCTCCACTGAAATGCCCAGCGTAAATTTGAGTCAATCTGACAGGGTTGGCTACACATACCAGGGCAGGCCCCAACTCAGCTAGTTATGCAGAGGCCCCTTCAATTGTATTGTATTGTATATTGTGATTAAAAAAAAGTGATAAAGGGGGAAATGTAGTATTATTAGAGAGTGTGGAATATGAAAAGGAAGTACTTAGACAACTGAGGAGCCTCGATACATACTGTAAATTACATACTAATCCTTTCCCCAAAATTGTTGTTGCCATAAATAAAAAAGTGGAATTAGCACGTGTAGCAAACCTTCTAACTAAACAGGAATGCGACATGTTGACAGTTGATATCTACAATATCCCCACCTTCTATGTAATCCCAAAAATACATAAAAATCCTACTCAACCACCGGGACGCCCGATAGTGTCTGCTATTAAGGGCCCGCTGGAACCAATAGGTAGATATGTGGATGATCTAATTAAGGACTTGGTCTTGGAACTTAGATCCTATGTTAGGGACACGGGAGATGTATTGAAAAAGATTATAAACGTGAAAGTACCTGAGGGTGCACTTCTGGTGGGTATTGATGTGGAATCACTATATACCTCTATTCCACACACTTGGGGACGGAGAGCTGTGGCTTACTTTTTAGAGACATACTTCTCTGAAATGGAAGCCCAAAATGAATTTATATTGGACCTGCTGGAATTTATGTTGACCCATAACTGCTTTCAGTTCTTAGGTTCTTTTTACCAGCAAATATGCGGTACCTCCATGGGAGCACCTTGGGCCCCGGCATTTGCATGTTTACATTTAGGCTTATGGGAAGAGGAGTTGGTATATCCCTCCACTCCCTATAGGCAACATGTAATAAAATGGCTGCGTTATATTGATGATGTCCTCATGGTCTGGGATGGAGGTATGGACCAGCTAGAAAAATTCATGGAATTTTTAAATGAGAATGATAGAAACATCAAACTTACCTATATAGTTGATAGAAAGGTAATAACATTTCTGGATCTATCAATTTCGATACAAGGAAATAAATTAGTTACTAAAACGTTTAGAAAGGAAACAGCGGCGAATACACTTCTGCATGCTAATAGCTATCATCCAAGGAGCTTAAAACAGGGCATACCTATTGGTCAGTTTCAGAGAATAAAAAGGAACTGTACAGATGAAGCTGAATACAGAAATTAATCT